ATCGAACCCAGGTTAAGAACCACTGGGCTAGAGTAAACTTCTGTTATCAATATTTTGAGCAGATTCTCAGTTGGATTTTGATCTGGACTTCGACTAGGACATTCTAACACATGAATCAGCTGTGATCTAAACCATCCCATAATATTTCTAGCTGCATGTTCACCCGTCGTCCCACAGCATGATGCTGCCGGTTCTCTGGACCAGAACATCTGACTCTGTTTACTGGTCAGGATTATTTTTAGAGGTGTGGAAGTAAAGAGGGATGAAAACATGTAAAAAAGTTGATTTTTCAGATTTTTATTTTAAAAGGTTTTGAAAAAACAAAATTTTCCTTCCTCTTTATGTCGTTTGAGGAAGAATCGGCTTGTTGTTGCTTCTTTGCTTTTTAAAAAATGTTTACTTAAAAAAGTCCATGGTTTATTTTTGTCTAATTTTTATTTTTTAAAAGTTTTTATTTTCTCATTTTCTTTTATTTATTTTTTTTAAAGTTTAGAGTTGTTGTTTATTTATCTTTTCTGTTTTTTAGTTTTTATTTTATAAACCACAAACCAAAGGTTTGGGGATGTAACATAAGAAAATGTGGAAAAGTTGAAGAAATCCTGGTTCAGAGAAGATTTAAATGACTAACCTGTTGTGTTTGTTCCAACATGGCCGCCGTGAAGCGTTTGGATTTAATCTGACAGCGAACTTTGAAGGATTCAACACGACCATCTACCGGCAGGGCGGCTGCTACAGCAGCCCGTGTGAGGCGGTGGAGACGCTGCGAAACCTCATGGTTAGGCACCGCGCCTTCATCCTTCTTTACACTGTAAAAATAGAACAACTCTCAAGCGAAAATGGCAGATGTTAAGAAGTTAGCACTACAAAAAATAATAATAATAATAATAATAATAATTTACAGTGATTGAAATCAGAGCTGAATTACATTAATAATCTGTTAAGGCTACAAAAATTAAGTGTTAGTTTTGCTTTGCATTGTGTAAAAAGTAAAGCATAAAGTCATAAAGTGACTTATGTCAAAAACAACTGACATAAAGTTTAGTTTTTCCAGAATCTGAATGTCTTATTTACGGAATAGTTTTATAACTATTACAATATTTTCTATTTTTTAATCACTTTTTTTAGTTTAAGCAAATAAATCTGATTTATCTGGTTTTCTATGCATTAAACAAAACACTTACAAAACACTTTACAGTACTTTTCTATTGTGATTTTACAGTTTTTATATAAATCCCACATCCATTTTTTACAGTGTATGTTAAATATGTTGATTTGGAGCATTTTTATTGTTTATTTTCTGTATTTTCTAAAGTTATAAACAATTGGATATCATCCAAAAAGGTTGAGAAGGACAATGTGTCACATCATATGACTCATTATTCTCCAAAGTATTTTATTAATAATTGATAGATTCATGCAGTGTAGTTAGAGAAATCAACTCGATCACCTGGAAGTCGGATCTGTGACCCAGAAAGTCAACAAGTCCGATCCGACTGAGAAAAACAACCAGATGTAATCCCCTTCACTAAATCTGAGCTAATCTGTTTCTAAACATGATTCTTTTAGTTTATTCCTTTATTTTAATATACTGAATCCTGAGAAATACACTAGTTATTAGCTTTTATTGCTAATATTATTTAATGATATGCTGTTTGTAAAGTTTCACAGTTGAAAAACAACAGCACTAATTTGGGTCATTAATTTCTAAAAGTCAAAGTTTCAAGCTAAGAATTTAATTAGCACACTCAATATTTAGCTTACCAACTAAACATTTAGTAGCAAAACTAAATATTTAATTAGCTCAAAGATAAATATTAAGTAGATAATATTTAAGTAGGAAGCTAAGTATTTGGTTTACCATCTAAATAACTATTTATCTGATTTATTAAACAGATGTTTGCTCTTTCAGTAACCATAAGAACACTGGAAAGCTCAGGCCTGTCATCAGAACAAATGTTTCTGCATGATAAATATCCCAGAAGATAATATTGTTGCTTTGAGATCATTTTCAAGGAATATAATTTTAATTCACGTTCTCAAAGACCAATAAACTTTAAATTCTAATGAACATTTAACACTGGAAGTGGAAACATCTTAAAAATCCAAAATAAGCAAACAAAATAACAGAAACAACAAATTAAATGAACAATGACACCTCAGTAAATAAAAAAGGGCCAGTTGAGACCAAAACACCAGACTGAAGATTTTTATCATCCACTCTTTGGTAGAAAGAGAAAAACAATAAATTATTGAGTTTATTTTAATTTATAATGTTATTAATTGATTTATTGCTTATTGCAACTGGTCTGTGTAAGCTAATTACAAATTTAATGATAGTGAAGAAGAATCTGATGTTGACATGTTAGGATGCGGGGCCCAAATGAAAATCTGCTTCAGGCCCCATAGAGGCTTTGGCCGGCCCTGCTAAGCCTCGTCTATGATGAAAACCAGAACCGCAGATGAAACTAAAAGTCCAAACCCAACACCTGTCTGTTTTCTCCGGCAGGACAATCATAAGCTCGGCTGCGCTGTCCTCGGACCGACCTGCACCATAGCAACGTTCCCGCTAGTGGAGTAAGTTACGTCATTCCTCTGAAACAGCCAATCACAGTTCATTCCTGACATGCTTAGTTTCCAGCCTCCCTGCCTGGTTTCTGTCTTGTTTTGTCTGGCTGCCAGCGCAGAGAAAGGTTTTGGGCTGAGCACGCCCATCATCTCGGCGGGAAGCTTCGGCCCGTCCTGTGACTTCGCCCTCAACCTGCAGCGGGTTCTGCCTCCGGCCCGGAAGATCTCCCACTTCTTCAGCGCCTTTTGGCAGGAAGACAACAAACTGAAGCCCGTGTGGAAGACGGCCTACATCTACAAAAAACCCAACAACACGGAGGACTGCTTTTGGTCAGTGGCATCTCGACCCACCCGTTCATAATACACTGTAAAAACAATCCAGTTCGGGATTGGCCCCGAGTCAAATGTGGGCCCATCCGGGGTTTGGTTAATTTAACAGAACATGGCGGGTTTGACTCGGTGTGGATAGAGACTTAAAAAGGTATCACAATATATCGGCCAATATCAGGAATTATTAATTAGTTGTTTTTTATTTTAAATACCTGAAATACTGCCGAACTGAAGCTGTGGTATTTCCTGTTTTATCTCCATGTTGTTATTTTTAAGCTTTAAACTGCTGGTGTGGAAGTTACTCAGCAGGTTGTTGCTAGGCAACCAAAGAGTGAGTGAGTTGCTAGGCAACCAAAGGGAGAGCTAGTTGATTCCACCAACCTTCAATACTCCATTTATTGAATACACGTGTATTCATATAGATATTATTTCACGTATTATCTGTTGATATTGATCATGTGTCTGCTGTGATACATTTTATTGATTTGTAATAGAGACTAAGTCAAGTTTATTTGTGTAAAACATTTCAGCAGCAATGCAGTTCAAAGTGCTTTAAACCATAAAATATTTTCAGAGCAGTAATTAATCCAAAACTGTACAAAATGTTTAAACATTTTGTATTTAAAATAAAAACACGCTTGTCTGTAAATCTGTTTTATCGGTTTCACCTGCTTCAAATTCACTTAAGGAATGCTGTTATTGCAGTATTTAAATGTTTTTTTCTTAAATGTATTGAATCATTGGTTTATTTGCATCTTTTAATGTATTTCTAAAAGGCTCAAGTAATGAAATGAAAAATCTGTGGAATGTGTCAGTGTCTTACCTGATTAATTGATTGAATACTTGATCACTAAAATAATTGTTAGTTATTGAAGTGCCAGCAGCAACCAACCAATTAGCACTTCTGTTGCTGACTTCACCTTCACTACACTGTAAAATGTGTCTGTTAATTTAATTGTGAATTGTTTTTTCAGGTATATCAACGCGCTGGAAGCCGACGGCATCAAAAATGTTTCAGAGACGGTTCTGCGCGGACCAAAGGAAGTGGAAGCTGTTCTCTCACAAACTAACAGGACGAGCAACCGTAAGTTGATCAATGGCTGCCAGTCTACAAAGCCAGACTCAAGAGTTATGGGTATGACAGGAAGTATTTGGGAAAAATAGAAGATTCCACATAATTTGTCTTCATAGCAGTTCCCAACTCAGTAAGAGAGAGCTCTGCCTGTAACCTGGAACCATGTTGCAGCCAAATCGCCTAATGATGCGTATTCGACGCAATCAATTTCATCAATAAATTATATTTTTGGCTTTATGAAAATGTAATATTTGGAATCTTATTTTTTTCACCAGTGCGCTCGTTGTGTTTCCATAGTTCAATGTGATGTCAGTGCGCCCGAGGCGGCCATCTTGTTTGAGAAGCGTGTTGTACAGCTTCTATTTATTTGGATCTTGAATTCAGGTTGACTCTACAACATAAAATTAAGGCCAGGCTAAAATTTATTATGTTTAATTATAAAAATAAAATTATAAGGGTCTTAGCGCTGTCAATCAGTGTCATGTACTTGCTGCTCAATGTGCTAATGGTGGAGAAACAACAGGAAAACCGTTATCCACCAAGATCAGTGGGTATGGTAACTAGCATTAGCATTCATGGCAGGCTATGCTGTGGTGAACCAGCTTTACCTTAGCAGAGAGCGAGCAGGAAGAGGTGAGCATCAGAGTGATTTACAGCGCTAAGACCCGCCTCCTGTCCTGGCTCTGATTGGTTGTTTGCAGTTAGCTCTGCAAACAACCAATCAGGAAAAGGCAGAGGAGCAAATTTTTTCAGATCATCTCTTATTATACATATTATTATTGGAACAAATATTTTAAAAACATATATTTTTATGAACGTTATATAAAGCAGCTTTAGTACCAAACCTCAATATGTACCAAAGATGATTTTTGTGTAATTATGCCCAACTAAAATATATTTAATGTCATATTTAAATGTGTTATGTGTGTTACATCCAAATGATCATTTTATATGTGAGGAAGTCTCTGCTTCATAGCAGAAACGCATTTTAAATAAAATTATTATGTAATTGTAAATAAATTAATACAGTAAATACAGAGACTTGTGATTGGTGTTTCAGCTCCTGTTTACACATGAAAGCATCGTTTCACACTGTAAAACAGACCTTTAGCTGTAACTCCGGTTTCTGGGTTGAATTGGAACTGAAATATAAATGTCTCCGCTGCGGTTTTACGTTGTTTGGTTGCAGTGTTCATCATCTGCGGCTCGGTGTCAGACTTACTGGAGATGAAGAACGACTCCAGAGGAGCCGACAGCAGCGACTTCCTCTTCATCCTCATTGATCTGTACAAGTCAGTCCTGACTCCACCTCAGCCTCTTTTCACATCTCCAGATTTAATTTGCTTTAGCATCTTTTTCTCTTTTATCTGTTTATTTCCGCTGTGTCTACTTTACTGTTTTTTAACAAACTGTGTTTATAGCAGAGAAACCTGGTTCTCTCTGTAAAGTGCAAACATTATTAGAAAACAAGAGAAAAGGCATTTACAGAGTCCAGAAGCCAATGTATAATAAATCATGGTGTTCAATAATGTTAACTGTAATTAAATGACTGGAGCACAAAGTTAAAGATGCAAGAAGGAAAATATTTATGGGTGAAAACGCCTACAGGGCGTTTCACCAGAACGCTTCACACTGCAGCCTTTTCTCTGTGATGAATTTGTTTACATGGTACATAAAGGATTTGCATTTGAGTTTATCTGTTAAATATCTACGCTCTGCAGAACGTAACTGTATTTTTCCTACTTAACTCAGTGATATTTACTACAAGAGCCCGTCACGGCCGGAGATGAGGAACGTTCTGGTGCTGACCATGCCCAACTCCAGGCGGTACGACATCAACGCCAACCTGAAGGACAGCGACATGGTGAGGAAACGGCAGGAAAACATGACGACCTGCCGCAGATTTATACATATACAGATGTTTTTCAGTTGCTGAAATAAATAAGGTTGAAGCTAAATATTTAGTTAGCAAGCTAAACATTTAGTTAGCAAGCTAAACATTTAGTTTACAAACTAAATATTTTGTTCTGAAGTATTTAGCTCAGCGCTAAATTTTCACTAGCCGGTAAGGGGATGTGTATTACTAAAATAAAAGCTGAGTCTTGCAAACTTAGTGAGTCTGAATCGCTTCCTGTCCTCTTCATCTTCATCTTTTCTTTTCCTCCCTGCAGATGAACGACTACATGGCTGCGTATCACGACTCAGTGCTGCATATAGGAAACGTGATGCGAGAGATCGCCACTAAAAATCAGTCAGAGATTCAACAAATGGAGTTTGTGAATGTGAATTACTTCAGAAATGTTGTCTTTAACGGTAAAGATGCGGAATAATTGCTCGGTGTGTCACCGATGTAGTTCCGTACTTTAAAACGTGTTGAAGTTTGAGTGTTTTCATTTCCTGCCCAGGAATTGCAGGAGAATATAAGCTAGACGAGTACGGAGACAGAGATGTGAATTTTTCCATCATGTACACAACAACTGACCTCCAGGTAAACTTCCTTAACTCACTTCTTTATTGTAAAGTTTATTTTCTCAAAAACTTGTTATGTGACTTGAAAAGTGATGATTTTGTCTGCCAGATCTCACGAAGAAAAAATATCCTTCAAACATCAGCATGTGAAAATCTCAGGGCTGATCTGGGGATTATTTGTAGATGAATTACTTGGAGATGTTTCCAGAATTTGAGCAGATGAAACTTAAATACTGACAGATTTATAGTCAGAGAAGCTTTTTAATGGTGAATACTAAATGTGTATATTTTTGTACATGTTTGGGTTAATTGCTGCTCTGAATCTATTAATATGATTAATCAGTTCATCCCTAATTGAAGCCTAAATGTAGAATATTGACCCTGATGAGTGAAAATTGTCTTTTAATCTGAACAAGGTTTTTATTTTTCCAAATAATTTAAATAGTTCGTTTTCATGTCGCTCCACCCTGGAAAATAAAACACCAAAATGTGTCACTGAAGCATCAAAACTAGGCAAACGATTACTAGGCTTATAATTAACTGTCGATTAATGGTTTATTAGATTAAAATTAGTTCCAGTCGATTAATAACGGCTGCACTGACCGTGTTTCCGTGTCGTAGTCTGGCCGCCATCCAGCAGAGGGCGCTGGTCATTCTGAGCGGCGCATGGCTTACACATAGAATTAAAGATGGCGGCGCTGTTCCAGAACAGCAGGACAGAATAACGGTCGATGTGGGATGAAAAGTGAAGTTTCAGTTTAATGGCGCGTCATTCGGTCGAGCTGCATCAACTTCTGCGCTCCTCACTGACCGAATGACCTTCACATATTATCTTTTACCTAATATGTTCCTGTTTGTTTTATTTTATTATGTCTGAGTTTAATAATGTGAGAAACCACAATGATCTATTTATTCAGTCAGTATGTAACAGCTGACACAATCAAGAAAATGGCCACTTAATTAAACAGTCGATTGATGAGATCAATCAACTTTAGATAAACTCATTAATCCATAACTAGCATGCCTAGTTGAAATCAATTTGACATTTTGTTGATATGTAAACAGTTCATGGTGGTTCTGTTGTCTCTTCCTCAGTATAAATGTTTATTCACCTTTGACACTGAAAACACCAAAACAAAGATGGAGGACGAATCTCCGGCCTTCATCTGGGGGAAGAAGCTTCCCAACTACGAGCCAGAGGATGGTAAACCTGAAAACACACACACACACACACACACACACACACACACACACACACACTGGAGCTGCAATCATTAACCACTTGCCTGCACATAATCAAACACACACAACGCCTGTTTGGTGTTACAAACTCATGAAGTGCCAACCGGAGATGCTATTATGTGGCCCTCAACTGATAAGAAGATAAATTTAGCAAACATTTATTGTCTCTGAGGAAACGGGAAAAGTGCCAGCTTCAGAGATTTTAGTGTTGCAAGATTACAAAGACACTTCTTCAGCTGATAAGCCAGGTTATATTGTTATCTGGATTTTATTTGATGTTTTTGACACCTGAACCATGAACCTTTTCAGCTGGTTTGGTTTTGGTGATGTCGAGAAACCAAGAGGAAATTTGGAAATGAGGCCAAATTAGTTTTTAATTAATTCAGTTTTTTTCTGCTGCAGGTAGAAACTCTGAACTGATTGATGTTATTTTTTGACTGTGTTCAGTAATACCTGTTTAATATCTGCAACTGAACCTTCAGAGACAGATAAAGACTGTAACAAAGTCGGCCTTTTATCACCTGAATGTAACAATAATAATAATAATAATAATAATAATAATAATAATAAACTTCCAGAAAACATCTGAAACATCTTTGACTTAAAGCTTAAAATTCATAATAACTGGAAGATTGATCAATATATTTGATGTATTTTGATTAGTTTAATATTTGATTTTGATGATATTTGAGCAGAAGTAATGTTTATTTCTTGTATGATGTTTTCATGACGTTTAGCTGCCTTGCCACTGAAATGTTCTGTATAAATAAACTTTACTAGACCTGTCGACTGGCCCTCCGATCCACGACATCATTGTGGGCGTCCTGGCTGTCACAGTGGTCGTCGTGGCAACCATTGCATTTATCTTCTACAGGTGAGTCGTTGTGCAGAGACACAGAGGGTCACATGAAGCAGAGGCTGTTTGTCCTTTTACTGTGATAATAAAATATGATTTAAAAGCCAGAATGAGAACAAGATGGCAGGTTTTTACCTTCCAGCGTCATGACGACGATGATGATGATGTTTTTGTTTTTAGACAGAACAGGAAAGACCGGCTCCTCAGGAAGCGCTGGTCACACATCAACTCTGACCTCATCTCTCTGCTGGAGGACACTGAACACAACATAATCTCCCTGCAGGTGAGCGACCATCAGAGAATCACATCCAGCTGCTGCGACTTTAAAAATGTTGATTCTTGTTGTTTACTTTGGGTTCTGTATAAAAAACATTTTTTGATCTTATTTTGTTTGTTTTAACAACCATGTTTCTTAGTATTTTGGTGAAAAATTTATTAGAAAGAAACTAAAATCTTCAGAGCCACATTTATTTACTTTATGCAACAACCTTTTGTACCATTGCTTTAAGCCTGAGCTCACACTGATCAACCAAGAAAGCAAAGCTAATAAAAACAGTTTGTTTGCATATATTCTGTACAAATTGATACAAAGTGTATATTTTTAAAGCAAATATTTTTTAGCTGAATGTTTTCCTGTCTGGATGAATGTTCTCCAATTAAATGTTGGATGTTTCTAAACATTTTTGCAGTTCCATTTATTCACCAGAGGGGGCAATAAGCTTGGAGGGCTGTAGATAAATCCTAAAAGTTTTTACAGTTTTCAAAATGTTCTTGTTATTTCTTTAGATAGAAGAAGAAAGGAAGAAGAAATTCAAGGTCCGCCGAGCGCTTTACGACAAAAAGGTAGTTGGATGGAAAACCTGCAGCTGATTTTAATGTCCAAATCTTTTCCTCTGAACACAAACAAGCGGATGAATAAAGGTTCTGTTCTGGTTCTGGTTCTGCTCAGATTGTGATTCTGAAGGAACTGAAAAACTGTGATGGAAACTTCAACAAAGAGCAGACAAGAGATCTGAATGCGGTGAGATGAAGACCGAGCTGGACTCGTACGGAGCTAAACTGGGGCCATAAAGTTTGTTCCAAAAATTTTTTCTTGAAACTGGAAAAATGAAACAAAAAAATTAATTGGAGAAAAGATGTAGTACAAAACATTTTTGTATAACCGAAAAA